TGGCAGAGGCCAGTGATCAGCACAGCTCTGGCCACGTTTGGGCACATCACGATGCCTGCAAGGGGACTTCTCCCGTCCACTGTGCTGTGTTCTTCAACCTGGATCCTAGCACCCTCCCTTTGCTCTGGAAAATTTGCCTTATTATGCCTTCGATCTTTTTCTCCCTTCGCTTTACTCTTTTCCCCCCTTTAGGAATTCCCAATATTGGATGTTGGGGTAGCCTGGATTGAGCCTCTGGATTTCTTTTTTCTCTCTCTGTCCCATTTTCTACTTGTATATTTTGTTGTACTTTCTGGAGAAATACCTCATTCTTGCAGTCCATCGCTTCTACTAGACGTTTTGTTTTTGTAAAGAATCTAATAGAGTTCTTTCTTGATCTTGGTTCCTTTTTCATGACATCCTGTTCTTGTTTTAGCTCCATGACGATATAGTTTCAAGTTCTTCTTCTTTTTCTTTTCTTTTCTTTCTTTTTTTAATGATCTTCTCTTTCCTGCATTGTCTGTTTCCTGTTTCCTTTCTTGGGCTGGTTGGTTTAGTCTCTCTCTCTTTCATGTTGGAAGCTTTCTTTCTTTTCTCCTCCCTCCCTCCCTTCTTCTTCTGTAACTTCCCTCTCTCCTTCTTTCCATCCTTTTTTCTTAACCTGTTATATTTGGAAATAGGGGGCTTTATTGTCATAACGAAGCAGAGACCCCGAGAAATTCTTACCTAGTTCCTTTTCTTCCCTGGACACTTTCCTCAGGCGTCAGAGGGGAGGGCCAGCTGTCCACGCTCTACCCACACATGCGTACGGACAGGACACGTTGACTGCTGGCTGTCATTTTGGGATGCTCAGACAGGGGTCTTTGCATTGGGGAAGCATCTGGAGCTCTTTTCTCCAAAGCCAGTTTCCTGAAGAGTGTTCCAGTCGGCTGCCTGGGGGATGGGCTCTGGGCACTGCAGAGAGCAGTGCAGGCGCCTGTGGGGCAGGCGCTCCTGAAGGCAGAACCTCTCGCTACCCCCTCTCACCTGCCCACAGACAGACCTGTACCTCACAGGGCCCTCTGCTCTGCCTGGTGTCCCCGGGTCTGGAGCACACCTGCTTTCATGGCTCCAGAGAATAAAGTCCAGTCCCTTCCAAGGAGATGAGGAGGTAAAGAGAAGTCTCCTGGCCGTGCAGATTGTGGGGGGAGGCTGGGGTCTGGTTCACCTGCATCCAGCCTGGTGCCCTGGCCCTGCCCCCAGTATGCTGGGACGCCCCGCTCCCGAGCCTCTTGGGCTGGGCTGCTCCACATCCCTCGTTTGTCTCTCCCTCTGCTGTCGACCTTGTCAACACTCCGTCCTCCGCTTCCACCTGCCACAGCTTTGCAAATTCTCATGTTTCCTGATATCCTCTCCCATATTCACCCCTGCTAATCTCCTAAGTCCCTACCTGTCGGGGCGGCGGTGTTCAGGGAGCGAGAGATAAGTGTGTGTGGTCAATATGCTTTGTTTAATGAGAAGTCAAGTTTCTTCCAAAAATCTAATTCTGTTGCTTCAATATTTATTTTTTTGACATCCTGATGGTAGTTTTTTTTTTTTCCTGATTAAACATTTATTACTGATTTCTAATTTTATTGCTTCATGGCACAGAATGTGGCCCCAGCTGTCTTTGGGCAACATTCTGAGGGCTTCTAGTCAACTTTGGGTAATGTTCCACGTGTACTCAGAAAGAAGGTACGTTCTCTCTAGGGCAAGTGCAAGGTATCCTTGCTTATTAAACCTTATAAATGATTAAAAGCCCTGGGGTTCTCTTCGTCTCCTCGATCTGTAATAAACTAATACTGCTGGTGTGTTAGTCTCCAAGGTAATTGTATTTCTGTTGATTTTCTCCCTTTGCAGCTCCAGGTTTTGCTAATGCCACTCAGTCCACACACGGGGGCTCACAGCCTTCGTACCTTTGTTAAAGATGCCCTCTGTCTACACGATGTCTGCCTCATTCATCGCTACTTCCTTGAACCCTACGTTGTTTGGCCCCAGCAGAGGGATGGCGGTCCCTGATCTTGAGGACTGAGGACAGCGGTACGGAAGCTTGGAGGGGACACACGGGTTTGACCACAAGGTGGCAGAGGTGTGGGGGTGCGGGAAGCCAGGCGAGTGGGCTGAAGAATGGAGGTGAGGGGGTGGAGACGGAGGTCTCCCGGGCAGGGCAGCGCGCCTGGGCTGAAGGGGAGGGAAGAAAACCCAGCCGGGAGCAGGTGAGCAGGTAGAGACCCAGCACTTGAGATGCCGTCACAGCAAGGGTGGGGGAGGCTGCTGGCCAGGGGCTGCCTGGGGAACAGGGTCACCTCCTTTCCTGCGGCTGCAGGGTTGAGGGCTGGCAGTGAGCCAGGGAAGGGTCAGAGGGTCAGCGTGGGAGTCTTCTCCCAGGGGGCAGCAGTGTGGCCGGGAGACGGAGGAGGTGAAGGGCTGGCTTACTTGTAGCGGAAAACAGGAGGGACACAGAACCCACACGGGCTTGGTGCGAACTGGGGTGTTTTCTTCGGCTCAGCTGCCCAGAGAGCGTGGGCTGTGGGTAATCCCAGGGCTGATGGGATCAAAGAATACCGTCGAAAGGGGGGGCTAAGGAGAGAGACCAAAGGGGTTGAATGTGGTGGGGAAGGCGGCAGACACAGGGAAGACCCCTGGGAGGAAGGGGGTCCGTCTAATGCGGAGGGGGGTATTAATGTAGACGATGTGGAGGGCTGGGCAGAGGGAGGGGTCCTCACGAGTCAGATGCCAGGGGCCCTGGTGGGAGGTGTGGCGGAGGGAGGGAGCACGGCCAGGGGAGCGCTGGGCAGGAAGGGGAGGGGCCGGAGCCTTTCCTAGCAGCTGAGCCGGGAACGCAGGTTTGGGGAGCAGGAGGCACGGGGGTTGGGGGGTGGTTTGGAGCCACCCTGGGGCTAACAGGAGTCAGGGCAGGCCAAGGCATGCAGACAGTGACCCGTGGCTCCGCTGCAGCCCTCCACCCTGCTCTCGAATCAGCCCCCCACTACCTCCAAGGACGCGCACAGGGGCGCCCGTGGGGTTTCTCTCTGGGAATGCCAGGCGGCCAGGGCCCGAGTCCCTGGTGAGAGCCAGAGACACCTATGCAGGTGATTGACCAAGGTCTCCATCTGGCAATCTGGACGGATGCATCCTTGTCCCCTAGAGTATCTGGGCCCCTGTGCCTGTGTCATTTCTGAGGGGCTGGGCTGAGGCCTGGATGTGCCCTCTCTTAGTCGTGTGTGAACAGGAGAGGTGCTGACCCCTAGGGGTCACTGGGTGGTGCCCGGGGCCCGCTGAGTAGGACCCGGGTTGCAAGGACCCCGAGCATGGGTGTAGCTGAAAGGGCCTGGAGGCTGGTTTGCTTCAGAGGCCCTGGGTTTAGCCCTGCAAGTGGGTCTGGCTCGTGAGAGCGCTGGGAGCCGGGGCCTTCCAGGCATTAGAAGCTTGGTTTAGCCCAGCTCGGCCGCAACCGGCTGGGGACCCAGAGTCAGATTTTAGTGGGTGGGAAGGCATCTGAAGCAGAGCCTGGCAGGAGACGGTGTCTGCAGTGAGTGCAGGGGCCACGCCATCCCCTGGGGGTGGGTGGGGACAGGACCAGCCAAGGGCTCCCTCCTGAGCCTGTCGGAGCCTGGGAAGGGCCCTGGGAAGGCACCGCTCCACTGGCAAGGGGAAACAGTCTCAGGTCACCGTAAGCCCAGACCAACACTGCCCCCGGGTCTAGGGGGCCCCCCTGTCCGCAAGTGCCAGCGGGGGGAATCCCAGTGCTGGTGTCCCTTGGTAAAGAACAATACAGGCCCGCAAGTCAGAGTCACCAAAATCTCCGGAGGCGCAGCTGAATGGAGGTGAGCCAGGTTTAAAATAGCTAAATAAATCTTTAATATTTCTAATTGCAAATGTACAGAAATCGCACAGCCACACAGTCTCAGAACAACGACTTTCTCTGTACACTATTACACAGCTCGGAGCCACAGCCGGGGGCTCCAGCCACGGCTCCAATGTTTGCGTGTTTTTCTTTTTCACATACTTACAAAACAGGGCGCGGGGGCGTGGTGTGGGGTTGGGGGCGGATTTGGGACCAAAGGTGTAGAAAAGAGGGGCTGTTTCCCTGGACGGCCTGCCTTCCGCGGATGGGCGGGACGGCAGGGAGAGGTGTTCGTGGGGGCGGGGGGGGCAGACTCTCTGAAGGGTGGAAGTGGGGGGGTGGAGCTCTGACCTTGGTTCCCCCCCCCACCCCGGGCAGTCGGAAAAAAGTCTTCACTTATAGGAAGTTTGGCAGTTTCCTTCACCCTAAACATAAAAGTTGAGCAAACCCGTCAGGCCTCTCTGTGTGGGCCCGGGGCCTCACCTTCCCGGAGCAGGGCTTGCCTTCCCTCGCTCCCCCTCCCTCAGGCCCCCTGGTCCCAGCCTGGGACGCAGGTTCGTGTGGCCTGGACCGGGCGCATGTCCCTAGCACCCCACCCAGACAGCCCGCTGCAAAGCCGACGGGTACATGCCACCGGTGGGGGAGTCCCCGACCCCGAGTCCCAAGCCCCCTCGCCTGCCCAATACTGTTCTCTAGATTAAAAAATAAAATACAAACCGTCGGAGAGCAGCGGTCCCGGGCGGCCCTTGGCAGCACCAGGACTAAAGGACTATGTACAACCATTAGGTGAAATAGTTACATTACAGTCGAACACCGAGAACATTTACAAAAATTGTCAGACTTGCAATTCAGATAAAAATCTGTGAAGAGTCTGTACACTTTTACAGTTTTTGCACTAAGTAAATAAGGCTCTCGGCCTGAGAGCTCACAACCCACACCAAGGGCCGCCAGCACCGCGCGCTGGCCTCCTGTGCCCTGCCGTCCGGGCCCTGGGAACCTCCCCGTATTGCTAAGAGGCGCTCAGTCCGAGGTTGCTCTGTGAGGCATCGAGGCATCGGTGGGGTAGGGGCGGGGGGAGGGCTCACCAGGCAGTGGGGGGGGGGGGGATGAGAGCGAACCAGAGGACATCACCGGGGCCAGGCCCTGCCTNGGGGGGGGGGGGGGGATGAGACCGAACCAGAGGACATCACCGGGGCCAGGCCCTGCCTGTGTGGCCTCGAGTGGGGGCAGGGCCACAGCCCCCACGGCCTTCCTTCCTGAGGTCTGCGACCCTTAGGGGCCCGCCCTCTCCTCACGGGCACGTCTCTGGCCTAACTGGCTGCAGGTTTCACCTAAGAGCCCCTGCCCAGAGGCCAGGATGGGGCGCAGTGCGGTCCAGGCCACCCTTCCCGCCCTCGACCTGGCGGGCCCTATGGTGACCCCTGGCTGTGGCAGGAAGGGCTCGGGGCTCTTCCCCAGGGTCTCAGCTTCCTGAGGCCACGGCAGAGGGGGTGGCCCGGGGCTCGCCAGCCCGGGCTCTGCCAGGGCAGATGCCCAGCTCTTGCCGGAGATGCCCTGGGGCTGGGGGTGGGAGGGACTGAGATTGGCCCGAGCTCCTGCCCGCCTGAGTCCCGCAAGGGGTGGGGGGCAGGGAGGGCTGAGAAGCCCCAGGACAGCCTAGAGCTGAGGAAAACCGGCCCCGGCTGTGGGATGTGCCCCTCTCCTGTGTGCAGCGCCCAGGTCTTTGGCCGGGGCGCCCGGGGAGGGTGAGGAGGAGGCCGGCCGCACACACGGGGCCTGGCGCAGGCCGCTGCTGTCTTGGAGAGGGAGCAAGTCTAACATCCTCCAGGGCCGCTATTTCCCATGCAGTGAGCACGCTCAATTTAAAAGGCCCCTGTGTTCCAGCAAGCGAGCAAGCGGGCTTTTGTTTCTAATGCATACTGTGAAAGGAAAAAAAATCACAGTTATCCATCTTCTCAGGGCCTGCTGGCCTTAGAACTTCTTTCAACCATCACTTGGGAAAGATCAGCCTTCCTCTCAGGGCGAGCACCGGCTGGGCGCTACCCATGGGGCATGGCACCCCGGCCCGGGGGCAGGGCAGGCGGCAGGCACAGTGCCCTTGGGCCGACTCGGCCCAGGTCTTTGGCTTTGGGGAGCCCCAGAATGTCAGCCTGGGTGACTGAGGGAGGCTCCGGGTCCTCCCTGCAGATACCAGGGCCCAAAAGAGCGAGCCAGGATCATCACAGGGGGTCTGGCAAAATAAGTAAGGACAGTTGGCAAGGGGGAAGGGGGAGGTGAAGAGGCAGGGAGTCTGGGGACAGGTGCAGGGGTGAATCCTCGGTCCCTCACGGCCAGGCGGGTGCCCGGATGGGCAGCATGCAGTAGCAGGTGCTCAGGGGGGAGCCCTGCGGGACAGCAACTCCGGCAGCTCCATCCTCCCCACCCTCTCCCTGCCTGCCGACCAGCCTGTCCGCCCCTGGGAACTGAGGGACAGGTCCCCCAGGGCAGGGGCCAGGGCCCCCAGCTCTCCAATCCCCTACCTAGCGGGCACCCCCTCCCTGAAGAGGGGGGAAGGGGTACAACATGCACTTGGCCAGGTCAAGAAAGAAAGGTGACACACACCAAATTCAGTAACCGACGGAGACGTCCTTTGGTAGGTCCCCTGCTCCCCCCAGGCCGCTCCCCCCCAGCGTGCAGTCCCTGTGGCCTGCACCAAACTCGCTTCTCGGGCCACAAGAGAGGGGAGCGGGCCCACGCTGCGTCCGTCTGTCCAGGCTCTGTCTGCGGCACCTCCTGGACCGCAGGCGGAGGGAAGGGGAGGAGGCCTGGGCCCCCCCCCCCGCCCCTGTGTGCGGGGCTGCGACTGTGGGGCGCTCCTCCCCAGGCCCCAGGCCGCGGCCTGCTCTGGGCCACCACAGTCCTCCCTCCTCGGGCAGGTTAGCAATGGCTGCTGTTTCGGAACTCGCCGTTCTCGGTAATCTGCAATTTGGTGGGGTTGGTGGGGGAGACGCCGTTACGGGCTTGCATGCTGTACCTCTCTTTCAGCTGCGTCAGGGCGCTCATGAGGCGGGCGTTGGCGGCGTCCAGTGAGGCGATACGCTTCTCCTGGGGGCAAACAGGGCATGCGTTGGGGCCGCGGGAGGGGCCCTCGGGCCAAAGGGGGGGCCGTACCGGGGCAGGGTTCTCCCCAGGGCTACGTGCGTCCCCCAGAGGTGCTGGCGGGGACAAGGGGAGGACCAGGGGAACACTGTGCGAGGGGCGGGAAAGGTCGGGCGTGGGGCTGCGGGTGCGCCGAGGAGGAGGCCGGGAGGTGGCCTCGACCTCACCAACAGAGACCTCCTGGAGCCGCCTTCGGACGTCTCTCACACCACTGCTGCTCACCCAAACATTAGCCCTGGTGGTCACCCGTCAGCCCCTCGAGCCCTAAGGGTGTGTGCCTTGGCTTGTGTGCGTGTGAGTGTGACGCGGAGGTCACGGCTCCTGGTTGGCCCGTGCTGTTTACAGTCTGAGCGAGGTCTGGCCCTGTTCCCAGGTGAGCGAGAGGAAAACAGCACAGCGAAGGAGAATGGTGGCCGCGGTCTCTTCTGTGCCGCCTCTCTCAGTGCAGCAGGGGAGCCACAGCTCCGAACAAGAGTCCCCCCTCCATCTGCCCAGCCTAATGTCACCTGAAGACATCCCCACGCAGCTCCCGATTGCTTCCACTCCTTGCTCAGTACCCTTGGTGAAAGGCAGTACCCACCAAGTTGTCCCAGTAGGGAAGGAGTTGCCCCACCACTTTCACAGTCTGTCCTAGTGAGCTTGTGGTCCACTGAGGCCTTCAAGTCTGACTTCTCAGATCAGAGATCCTGGTCTCCTATTCCTCCTCAGCTTTCATAGTGGGCAAATGAATGAGGCTGTAGAGATCTCAAAGTAACCCCCAGCCCAGCCCAGCTCCTTTAACACCTATGGCTGACCAGAGGGCCGGAACCCACCTGGGCATCAATGATCTTCTGTTTGGAGTCCACAGCTGCTTGCATCTCGGCGTGGTCCTTCTTCAGCTCCTCCTCCACAGACATTAACCTGTGACCACACGTAAGGACAGTCAAGCTGGCACTTGAGGGAGCGGGTGAAGAGGTGGGTGTGGGGCCCCGTGGGCAGAAGCCATCACACCTGCACAGCGGGGACATCGTAGGAGAGCCCCTCTGGCTGGCCTCCAAGAACTGACGTGAGCTGGGTCTACTCCTTCCTTACACTTTCCCTACTCCAGACTCTGTTCCCAATCCCCCAGAAACCCTGATGTTCTTCCAGGAGCCAAGGTGGGTGGGGGTGGGGGTCAGATCCTTGCCGCCTCCCAGAGCAAGGCAGGTGGGGTGATGTCGTAAGACCCATGGCACAGGTGGGAAGATGAAAGCCCCGAAGAGCCCTGGGGCTTTCTCCACCCACTCGGTATTCACCAAGGCTAGGCCAAGATGTGCCAGGCACTCAAAGTAGCGAGATGAAAAAGTACAGATCTCCATCACTCAAAAAGTTCACAAAGCAGCAGGGACAGACAGGCACGCGGCAGCCTACAGGCCATGGGAACGGAGAACAGGAAGTAGGTGACTGTGCTGGAGGGTGGGTGCACATACTGGACGCCTGAGGGACAAGCGAGTCTGAATGAGGGTGAGAGCAGGTTAAGACCGGAGGAAGAGGGTCTGCAGAGGCTCAGAACTAAGGCATGTGTGTGTGCTGCCAGCCGCCCGCCTCCCTGAAACCCGTTCTGGCCCCACCTTGCCGGTCCCTCACACACCTGTCAGTCACTACGGATCACGCCCACCTTCCGATGCTCTTCCTTTAGCTTCCGGACCCCACGCTCTCTGGGTCTGCCTCCCAGCCCCAAGGCTGCCTGCTCCCAGCACACTGGGTGTCCACAGGGGTCTGCCCCAGGTTCCTATCTTGCTCTCCACTCTTTTCAGACAAGCTCACCTACTCCCAAGGCTTCATCTCCATCTCTACCAGCCCAACTTCTCCAGGCCAGCAGAACAGTCCTCTAACCCCTGGGTGGGCACTGAGCCCCTGTTACAGAAGGTGCACACAGAGGTCAACCTGTGTGCAGGTACCTGCAGGGCTGCTGTGAGAAGTCAGTGGGGTCCGTAGTTGGGGAGCACTGACCAGGAGGAAGGGGTGAGGGGCCGTAACAAGGGGGGTGCCTTGTCACAGGAAGATCGGACATTGAGAAAAGCCTGTAAGATGGGGGAAGGGAGGAATAGGGAGAAGACGGGCATCAGATGGTGTCAGTCAGAAGGGAAATTACTCTAGGGGAGAGACTTGTGCCTCCAGCTGGTGGAATAACAGGGACTGGATTTACCCTTCTGCCACCAAACAATGACAACAATAAACTAGAAAACCGAATGAAATCTATGAAAAAGTGGTTTCCAGACACAGAACTGACAGTGTCTCCTAAGGGAAGGGAACACGTGAGCTGAGCCCCACTCGCTGCCTGGAGTGTCCAGGCCAAACAAAAAAGAAGGGACGTAAACTCATGGAGTCGAGGAGACCCAGGGAGGCCATGCCCAAGAAGGGGAAGATACAGGGAGAGCTCCACACGTCCCCTGAGGGCTCCCCTGGAGTCTTTGGCAGAGGACTGCTCTGCGTGCCTGCGAGAATACAGCCAGGCCAGGGCGGGAACCGTTGGAACAGGAGAATAATACAGCCGCAGGGAGAGTTCATACTCCTACCTGGCAGGGTAGAAGTATGTGCTAACATGGGGGCATAAAGCAGAATTCCCAGAAGGAAACTGCCTCAATATGGAGCCAGATTAGGCTAGATTAAAGGCTGTCCAGACCCAACCCAACCAAGCTTAAACGTAAGCCTCAAAAGAATAAAACTAATTCCAAATAACCTCATTGTGTCCCAGAACAAAGCCCGAAAACATTTAAAAGAACACAAAATATTCCACACCTATGTAAAAGTCACAATGTCTGGCATCCAGCCAAAAATCACCAAACATACAGAGAAGTAGGAAAACATAACAGATAACCAGGAAGAAAATTAATCGAGAGAAACAGACTCAGAAATGTCATGGATGACAGAATTAGTAGCCACTGACACTACTGTAAATACATTCCACATGGCTGAGGAAATAGAGGAAAGCATGAGCATGATGAGAAGAGAAATAGAATTCAAACCAAGCTGAAAGTCTGAGGGTGAAAAGCACAGTATCTGAAATGAAATGAAAAAATACTGGATAGGATTAATAGCAGATTAGACATTGAAGAAGAAACGATTAGTAGCCTTGCAGACACAGTAACAGAAATGATCTAAGACACAATAGGAAAGACAAGTGAAAACAGGGAACATCAGGGCATCAGTGCAGTGTGGGACGATATAAAGCAGCCTAACGTATGTATGTGGGATTCCCAGGAGAGATACTGGGAAAACAGGATGGTATACGCACAGATCCAAAAGCTCAAACTCAAGAAACATGAAGAAAACCATGCCAGGGACCATCATAATCAAATTATTGGTGATCAGTGATAAAGAAAAAAAATCTTAAAAACAGCCAGAGAAAAAGCTTAAGTACAAAGGAACAAAAATAATGACAGAATTGCTACTATCATAGCTTGAGCATGAGGGCCCACCTGGGTCCACTGCCTGTTTTTGTAAATAGCCACACCACACACGTAGTTCTGGTAAAACAGCACAGTTGAATACTTACAGAGGCCATATGGCCTGCAAAGCCTAAAATATTTATTATCTGACCCCTTAATGGAAGGTTCCAACTCTTGCCCTAAAGCGACAACAGAGACATAGCTAGTAAGACAATAAGCGATAAAATGCAATAATAAAAAATGCTCAATCCAAAAGGGTGCAGGAAAAAGGAAACAAAACATATGGTACAAATAGAAAACAGTAGCAAGATAAGAGATTTATACATAATTATGTTGATAATTACATTAAATGTAAATGGTCTAAACACTCCAATTAAAAGGCAGAAACTATCAGATTAGATAAAATGCAAGAACCAATAAGGTGTCTATAAAAGAAACTCATTTATACAGAAAGACAGCAATAGGTTAAAAGTAGAAGGATAAAATAGGATATACCTGGCTAATATTAATCAAAATAAAGTTGAGACACCTGTAATTAACATCAAACAAAGTAGATTTCAGAACAAAGAACTTGAGGGATAAAGAAGGTGACGTTATAATAATAATAAAGAGGTCAGTTCACCACCAGCATGTAACAATCCTAGATGTGGATGCAGAATTTCAGTGTACATAAAGTAAAAACAATTGAAAAAAGAAATATACAAATCCACAATTATGATTAGAAAATTCAATATCCTTTCCTTAATAAGTGCCTGAATGGTAAACAAGTAGACAGAAAAACTAGTAAGAACATAGAGTTAAACAATGCTAGTAACCAAATGGATCTAATTTGACATTTCTGGGATGGTTAGTAGAAATAAATATGCTAAGTAAAGGGCGCCTGGGTGGCTCAGTCAATTAAGCGTCCGACTTCGGCTCAGGTCATGATCTCACCACTTGTGAGTTCGAGCCCTGCATCAGGTTCTGTGCTGACAGCTCAGACCCTGGAGCCAGCTTCGGATTCTGTGTCTCCCTCTCTCTATCCCTCCCCCGCTGGTGAGAGCTCACTCACTCTCTCTCTCTCTCTCTCTCTCTCTGTCAAAAATAAATAAACACTTAAAAATTTTTTTAAAAAACGTGCTAAGTAAGCCACTGGTTTCAGAGACCACACACTCCTCAGAGAACAGATACAACGAGGAAGGGGTGGTTTGTTTGAGAAGCATTTTTCCATTCTTGGAACCACACACGCAACGTGAACCAAGAACAGAGCTGCCGGTCAAGGGAACAGTGGATTTCCAGTCACTCTGGCTGCAGGGTCTCTGCTCATGCTAACCATCTTACAATGAACAAGCCCACAGGTAAGTGAAACAAACAGTAATTAGAAGCAGAGAAACAGGTAGTCTAAATAGGAAGAATCTGGAAAGGGTCTCTGGAGTGGACAAAACATGAGGCCAGGTGGGAAAACTTCTGGGCACGGCACACCTGCTAAATCTGTCCAGATGACAGACTCTAATGCCATGGAAACAAACAGGCTATAAAAATCCACACCGTTTCCTCTTCTACCTTCTATTACTGTCATAAAGAAGTGAACTTCATGATCGGGATGCTGTGGGATGGCCAGGATGCTACACCTTCACTGTACTCCCTGCCTACAGACATGCACGAGGGTGTACAGATACAGAGAATGAGAGAGAGAAAATCAACACACGATGTCACCTAAGCCACCAATAAAGATGAGGGTCAGCATCAAAGCCAATGGTTCTCTGGAAAACGTTCCCGGACAACCCACAGTCAGCCTAACCCGGAAGGGCTGGGACACCCCAACTGCTCCCTCTCCCCAGGCCCTCGTCTCAGCGACTGCACCAACATACCCAGAGGCTTTTGGTAGAAACCTGGGGGTACTTGCCTTCCCCCTCCCCTCCTCCCCCCACACCTTCCCCCACCGAATGTAACTGACATTTTCCGCCCAGAAGTGGGTCCTCACCGTGTTCCCTGGAGCCTCCCATCCTAAGTCCCCTGACCAAGGAAACAGGAGTCCTCACAGGGCCACAGGCCCTGCGTCTCACGCCCAGCTCTGCGTTCTGCCGTCAACGCGCCCCGTGCTGGGTACGGCTCCGCGCACTCCAGGCTGCCCCTGACGCCGCGCGTGTGCCACGCCATCCCCACTGCCTGGGACGCTCTCCCCCTTCCACCCCTGGCCGTCCCGCAGCTGATCGGCCCTTCCCCTCTCCGGGGGGACCAGAACGGGCCCAGAGCAGGAGCCGGCGGCGCCCACCTGCTGATGATGCCCTTCATCTGGATGTCCTTGTCCTCCTGCTGCCGCCGCAGCCGCTCCTCGCCCTCCTCCAGCCGCGCCTGGTACTCCAGCACCAGCTTCTGCGTCGTCTCCTCCTGGCACTTGAACAGGGTCTCGTACTCCTCCAGCTTCTTGGTGGAGATCCGCAGCTTGTCCTGCAGCACCGCCAGGTCCTGCGGGGGGCGGGGGCGGCGCGCCAGGCGCACAGCACCCAGGACGGAGAGCACAGCCTCGTGAGCCCAGGCGGGGGCGCCGGCGGGAGGGGGCCCAGCCAGAGCGGTGGCGGCGACACTCCAAGCCTGTCCCCGCCCGGGGCTCTCTCCGCTTCCACTTCCCACCCCTGCAGCCAGGCCTTGGAGCGGTGAGGGTGTGAAGACTCACACGCAGACCTCAGAGGTAACGGTTTAACTAGGGCCCTGAGGTTTTTGGCTTTCGTTTTTAATATAATAAACAAACGTTAAAATCACTCTTGGATATATCAAGAGCTGACAGCACCCTGAGAGACAGGGGCTCTACAGGAGGGGAAACTGAGGCCCAGAAGGCAGGGGGCCCAGTCACATGGAGAGTGACTGACCAGTGGGGTAAGGTCCGAGCCTGCCAGCCTCTGTCTGACACTGAGGCGAGGGCAGTGGCGTGGGGAAGTGAGAGGTTCCAGGCAGGTGGGGCTGACCCCCTCTGGAATCAAGGGGCTGGGGCCAGGGTGCCGTGACAGTATGGGGGTTGGCGGAGGCAGGAAGAGCCTCTCCTGGAGACCCAGACAACGGAGGCCTCATTCACCTCAGCAAAGGACCACCCAGAGGTTAGGAGGCGGCAGACCTAGAGACTGGTGAGAGACCAGCATCCACCCAAAGCAAGGCTCCTATAGCAAAGCTGGCTCCATGAGAGCCCGGCTCCCGGGGAAACGACCCCAGCCCCATCCCAAGTCTTGCTGAGCTGGCCAGAGAGGGGTGGGGAGGGCCCTCCCTGCCAGAGGCAGCAGCAGGTCTCCAGGGAGCTCAAGGGAGCAAGGCCTCCTGGATTTGACTGTAAAGGTTAGTAGCGGAAGGGTGAGAGAGACGGGCTCATTCAGCCACGGAGGAGCAAGGAAAGGGGACAGTCCAACCGCAGCCTGATCCCTGCAATGGTCCAGGCGGTCCCTGCAATTCACAAGTGGGACCTGGAGCCTCAGAGACGTGCAGAGCCCAGCCCGGGTCATGCAGGGAGCCCGGGTGAAGGGTGGCCAGCAAGGAGGGCCAAACGCTGGCTCTTGGAGCACTGTGCCCCACGTCCCCTTGTCCCCTTCACATAATTATGGTGAAAGCAGGTGGATGCAGTGGACTAAGGGGATGGTGGAAGGTGGCGGAATGCAGCATGAACATGAACCTCGCCTGAGGCCATGAGGAGGGAGACTTGCCACCCTGACCTCCGTGGAATTGTCTGAGAGAGACTACAGCTTTCCTGGGGCTCAGAGGCGAGGGCACCTGGGGAGGCGGAGGGTGTGGCTGCCGTTCTGGGGTGGCCTTGCAAGGGGTCTGCGTTCACCTGGGTCTGCAGGGACCCGAGGCAGGTGCGGTAACAACAGGGAGGCTTTGGGAGGACAGAAGTCCCTCTCACCGCCCCCGCCAAGGGCGAGATGTGTGCGGTGGGCTGGACTCTGGGTATCTGAGAACCACTGTTTCTCCTTGGAGGGGAGGAAAGCCTCAGTAGCAGCCTGGCCCCACCCCTGCACGCTGGCTCTCTCTCTCTCAGGCCCTGGCTGGGCGCAAACTGAGTGGGGGCCCTGGCTGGGAGCAGCCCTCCCGCTGCCTCGGGAACCCCACCTCTCTGCTGCCTAATGCACGAAGTACCCCATGACGGTCTCCATGTGCCTCTTTGGCATCCCACAGCCCTCAAGTCCTGGTTGCTCAGAAACCCAGCGGCCCGATCACGCGGGAAAGGGGCCTCCTGGAGGTCTGAGGACCAGGTCCTGGGAGTCTGGATTCAGAACAACTTCCAGTGTGTCTCGTGCAGCCTGTCCAGGAATCCTCAGCTCTGAGCTAAATCCTTGCCGCTTCTACTGCCAGATTCCTCTGGCTGCCGTTCTCACGGGGGACCGGGGGTTGAGGGAGGACCGGCTGTACACAGGAAGGAGCGGCTCCCCTCATTTGGGGTTCAAGGGGAGAGAATGTCGTCGGGCAGGCAGCCCCGCCCTGCCCCAAGCTGCCAGGGTCCGGCTTTACCTTTTCTGCTTGGCTGAGCTCCTCCTTACTCCTTAGCCTATCCCTGTGGGGGGGGTCTGGGCCCAGGCCCTCGTCTTCTAACAACTGCGCGTTCATGGTCAAGAGCCAAGCGGCCGTGCGGTCCAGGGCATTGGGGCTCACGGGTGAAGGGCCCTACAATGAAACACAGCTGTGAGGGGCTGAAGGGAGGCGGGGGGGGGGGGGGGGGGGGGGGGGGGGGGGGGGGGGGGGGGGGGGGTGGTGTCACGAGGTGAGTCACGGGGACAAGTGGCTCAGAGGCATGGCGGGGGCAGAGGGCGTCCAGCTGTCCAGGCCCCTTCTGATGCCGCCCCCACCGCAGGAACTCCCATTCCTGGATGGCAGCCTGAGGGGAGTCAAGGGCCCAGGTGGCCTGAGCGCCCCTCCCTGCCGCCCAGGTGAGAGCAAGTGAGCTCGGCCAGGTAGGCAGGCAGGCATTTAACCCAGAACACGTCTGTCCCACATACTGCGTGTGGCCCCAGGGTGACATGAACAACCACTCGGCCCAGCAGCTGAGCCCTGGCAGCCAGCTGATACGAAGGCGGGGGCGGGGGGGGAAGGTGGAGGGGGGCACTGGGGGGTCCAGTGGACCTGGCAGGGCTTTATCAGGCCTGCAGCTACAGATGGACAGACCCCTCCCTCTTTTCTCTCCCTGACCCCAGCTGCCCTCAGGACATCCTAAGGCCATACTGTCCCTGATTCAAGGACCTGGACGGGGACCAGTGATCCCCAGGGGAGGGGAGGTGGTGTGTGGCCGGCCGGTGGGATGGGGCCGCGTGTGGCAGCGTTTAGCATGGGATGATGGCAGCCGGGCACAGGTGAGATGACCAGGAGGAGCAGCACGACACGGGGGACGATGGCCCTGGGATGACAGCACTGACCTGCTTGTGTGCAGCGCGGGGCTTCAGCTCCGGGCTGTCCCCCTTGGACGAGGACGACGGCTGCCGGAGCCGGGCCCCGGGGCCAGCCCAGTCGGGCGAGGCGGACGCCAGGGGCCCACTGGAGGGCCGCGGGTACTGCAGGGTGCTCAGCAGGGTGGGAGGCGTCCGGCCTCGGGGCGCGGGGGGCGGCGGCGGGGGCGGTGGGGGTGGCTGGTCGATCCTGCGCTGGGGGCCGGCGCTGTTCTGCCGCGGCACCGTGGGCTGCCCGCCCTTCTCAGTCAGTGACATCTGCCGGCGCGCCAGCTCCCCGGGCCGCCGCGCCAGCTCCTCGGCGGCACCGCCGAAACTTCCCAGCTTGGCAGCCGCTGCCAACTCCTCGCTGTTGCTGTGGGAGCTCAGGGAGCTGTGGCCCTCAGAGCCCGAGTCACCGAGGCCGCGGGGTGAAAGTGGCAGGCCCGCTGCCATCTGGTACACGGGGTTCTGGAAGGAGAGCGGCGCCAACAGCTGGGGCCGGCCGGGGGCGCCCTCGGAGGTGCCCGGCGTGGTCGGTGTCTGGCCTGCCCGCCGCACCGTGGCCAGCCCTGCCAGGCTCGCCGGGGCCGCCCGGGCCGGCCACCCGGCCACCAGCTGCGATGCCGCCGCCTGCCCATCGGCGGTGAGGGCGTCGGGGCCCGCCGGGGAGCCCGCCTCCCCGTCCAGCGTGCGGGCGTCTTGGAGATCTGCCATAGACAGGCTCTTGCCACCATTGGCCATCTGAAGGTCGGGCTCGTTGGCTTCCGAGTAACTCGAGCTGCGGGCAGGTGAGGGCTGGACCCCGGAGGACCTTGTGACAAAAAACAAGTCCTTGTTTTCGGGGGTTGGAGACGGTAACCGGGTGAAATCTATCAGACTGCAGGGAGACAAGCACACACAGGGAAAGAAGGGGGAAGAGAAGAACTGTGAATGTGGCCAAGGCGGGTCCAAACCGAGCACCCCGCCAACCTGCCGGGGCCCGGCAGCCTGAGCCAGGGCTAGGGGGGAGGGAATACAGGGCGGGGGAGAGGAGGCACGCGGGCTGTCAAAGTGGGAGAGACTGGGGACCAGTGGCCCGGCTGCAAACCAAACCACCGCCCTGGCAGCCGACCCCAGCAGAAGCCCCCACGGGGACCGGGTGGCCGGGATGGCTGTTCCTGCGCAGAACCTCTGCTCTAGGGGCCAGTGCTGCTAGGTCCAGGCCGGGCTGCCTCGTATGCCTGTTCCTGGCTCAGCTGCATCTCGGGACAAGGTGCCGGGGCCTAGACTATTCTGGAAAATTCCTCTTAGCTAAACCCTGACCCACAACGCAGGGGCTCTCTGCTATCCAAGGGTCCTGCACTAAGAACTCTGACTTCAAAGCCACAGGGGCTCCAGCTGTCTCTTCCCCTCTCGTTCCTCACCAGACTGATAACCAGAGTGGGGACCTACTGAAGCCTCCCCCTGCCCCGCCCCACCTCCTGCTGCCACCTTTGTCTGACTGGCAGGCGGGGGCTGGTGTTCCTGGCAAAAACAAGGAATCAGAGGAGGATCCAAAGGTGTGACTCAGGCAGGGAGGGTCGGCACCTGCAGAGGCGGGCCGTACCCACCCCCAGTCTTCCAGCCTCTCCCTGGCCCCTCCCCGGAAGCCCACTCCTTAGAAGGCACCATGTGGTGGGTCAGGTGGGCTCTGGAGGGAAGGCTGTGGGAGGTAGACAGGCTCTGAGCAGGCAGGGGTTTCAACAAAGGGGAGCCTGGGATGGAGAGGAAGTGCCAAGTCCCAACCGATGGAACTTGGGTGGGGCCGGCTGCAGCCGGTCAGGGCTGACAGGGGCAGGCAAGGAGCCAGAGAAACTCAGACCGGCCTCAGGACACGCAGTCAGGTCTCCTCAGAACCCACATGCCTGGCCACCTCTTAACCAAGGGGTGTCTCTTCCACCTGGCCTTCCTTCCTTCACTTGGCAGGCTGTGCGAATGGACCCCCAGGGCTCCGAGGGAACTGGGAAGGGCCTCCAGTCCTGTGCACAACACACCCTAGACTTGATCTCCACGTCCTCGCCTGCTTCCCGGCCTGCTGCTGCTGCCCCTTCAGAACAAGACCCAACTCTGCCGTGCCAGCCTTATGAGCTGGGCCAAGATGCCCCCTGGGAGGGGAGTGTGTGGGGGCACCAATGGTTCACTATATATGCCAGGTCTTTCAGAGGAATGTCCTCATTCTGACGTTAACATCCGAGAACATTTGGCCTCCCTGTCCTGAACCTGAAGGCGAGGCCTCAACGCCTCTTCCCGTTCCCGGTGCGCCCAGCCTCTAAGCCTTGCAGTGACCCAGACCCCTGCTGAAAACACATGCACTTGAGTGCCCCTCCTGGAGATTCTGATTCAGACCCAGGAAATACCAGAAGAGGTATTTTTAACACACACCTGGGTAATCTAGAGGCATTTGGGCCCAGCAATTATTCTTCAACAGAACGTATCGTCTTTCTCCAAGCCTTTGTTTGTGTTAGTTCCTCTACGCAGAATGCCTTTTCCACCAATGGAAATGTTACTTTTCCTAAAAAGCCCAAAACTACAACATCACCTCCTCCACGAAGACTTCCCTGATGTTTCCCAAATGGAGGTTCTGCCTACAGCCTACGTGACACATTTAAAGTCTCACGCAGCTTATTTTATAAGTGTTTGCGTAGACATCCTCCTTCCCACCCGCGACTGCAGGCAGTTTGTACCTTGTCTACACGTGCGCCCAACAGCACCCGGCAGGCCTGGCTTCTCTTACCCAGAGAGATCATTCTCGATCACCATCTTCTGCAGCCCGGCCGAGATGCTGCTACTGCCAGAGCCAGGAGTGGAGGCCAAGTCGTTGGTCCCTGTGAGCGGCCCACTGCCTGGGGTACTCAGAGCTGTATGGACGTCCCTCAGGATTCGAGGCAGAGGGCCCAGTTTGGATACGATGTTCTGCAAATACACAGCAAGAGGCAAGTGTGACTGTGGGAGCCACTTGGGGAGGCCAAGTGCACTGCAGCTGCTGTGGCTCAACACTACTGAGGAGCCACTTGGAAAGGCAGGCCCTGCCCTCCCCACCTGTCAGACCCAGCCAAGCTGGGAAGGGGCTTGGAAGCCCAGGAATCTGCAAATGAATATTTTTCCCAAGACCCCCAGATACTTCTGGAGGGGTGGGGGCAGTGGTGTGAGAGGCCTAAAGGGAGAAATGGCGACCTGGCCTACGCCCTCCACCTGAGAACATTCCATCTCCATGCCCCGGAGAGGGGAGCCCACGAGGAACCCCAGAATTTCCTGCAGCAGTACTTCCCTATCGGAGCGGCTTCTGGGATGGCTCTCTGCTTATGCACTGGCTTCTTATGCAAAAAGAAAGTGTGAAAACTCATGCAGTCAACGGAGCACAGACTTGAAAGGCAAACACCTCGATCTCAGATTCTGGCTGCACTGCCGTCAGCGGTGACGGCGGCTGCCCTCCCCCGGGCTCCCCGCCTGTGTGTGCAGATGTGGGTGTCGGAGGCCGGCATGGCGCTCCGAAGGGGGTGGCAGTTAGGGTGACTGGTGTTGGCAGCAGTGGAGAAAGAGAGGGCCTTGGCCTCGCTGCCGTTTCCCCTCCTGTGTCTCTTGCAGCCAAAGGGGAGTGGGGATGAGCGAGCAGACATGGCTGCAGCAGCAGCACGACGCTGGCATTGACCCGAGTGTCGGCAACAGGGGCTGGTGAAATGTGTACTCCGATGTGGGACAGCCCGCGGCTGTCAAAGAGGCCACAGCGGCGGCGCGGTCCGTAGTGACGCGGAAAGATGACGAGAACGTGAGTGAGAAACGCACTCTGCAGTGCTCACAAAAGTTCTCACTTTAACACAAATGGAAAGAACTCTGTGGCTGCATGTATACTTAACACACGTGCAGAGAGATCTAGAAAACTGCACACCGGAGTGCCCTGAGTGGTCACCTCTAGGGAAGGGGACAGGAGCAAGGCAGCCTTCCACCCTGGTGAGGCAGTAACCATGTTTGTCAAGGGATCTCTTTGAGCCCTGGGAAGCAATAGATAATGTCGACGTGGATCCGGACGGCACTGGCCCTGCTGCCCAGGACCCGTCTGTGGTGTGGGCTGGGGCTGCAGGGGTGACTGTGGAACCCTGGGCCACAGAGGGCGCAGGCCAGGTGGCCGGCTGCAGCAGGGTCAGACATGTCTGATTTTCAACTCCGGGTCCAGGGCAATTCGGGAAGGGCCTAACGCTTCCTGCCTGACGTGTGGAGGCGTGGCACCTTCAGCGTCTCTCTTGTTCACATCAGTGGCCTTAAAACCTAGGTTGAGGACGTTTTCAGAGAAGCAGCTACAAGGGATCACGTGTCCCACGGGTAGGGAGCACACCTTCGCGCACTCAGTGCTGAGTGTGGACAGCTGAAGCCCCGGTGGGCAGAGTGGGCCCCCGCGGCTGGTGCTGGCGACTGAACGGGACACTGCCCATTAAGGAAATGGGGCCCGGGGCCGCTCCAGGCAATGCTGACGGGGCCTGGCACCCAGGCAGGCAAACACTTTAAGCCCCACGGTTAGTCCGTGAGGAAGGGCGGCCTCGAGCCCTGCGCCCCCTCGGCCTGGCCCCGCCCCCCCGCGCCCGTGGGGCCAGGCACCTGCTCCAGCTGGCTGACGGCCTCCCAGAGCAGCGAGTGCAGGCTGGAGAGCTCGCGGCCCAGGTCGATGTAGCCCTCGAAGCCGGCCGTGTTGGACACGGTCTCGGGGTTGGAGATCTCCAGCAGGAAGCGCTGCATGTTGGTCCACTCGTGCTCCAGGAACTGGTTCATGAACGACATGTACTCCTCCTTGCTGCCAAACCTGGATAGGGAACGGCCTTGTAAGTGTCCTGGGGCCCTGGCCAGGAGATCCCCGCTCTGAGGCACTGCCCTCCGCCCCCCCCCCCACTGCGGCTGCCCCACACACCACTCACTCCCCCAAGCCAACAAATCTGCTTGGGCTTGGGGCTCTCGTTCCTGGCTAAGGCCAGAGTCCCGTTGCTCACAGGACCTAGAATGTTTGGTGGATCTCATTCCCCATTCACTGCTGATCAATCTCCTTCTCCCTTTCCTCCAAGTTTCAATGGCTTGGTGTGCAGATGACTTTTAATGCACACTTGGTGGGTCTCTCTGCTGAGCTTTCAGGCAGGTACATCCACGGGCACCTCCCCTGTTCTCTGCCTGGCCGCGTAGGACGTCAGCGCTGTCACCTCACACCCATGCCCCGCTCCCGGGCTTCCCAAGTAGGGATACCGCTGTCCCCCAGGGAGCTCAGCCAGAAGCCTGCGGGCTGCCAGCTTCTCCCTCTTCCTCCCCAACTGGCTAGGCCTGCTGACTTTACCTTCCAATCACCCCTAACATTGCAGCCACTCCCTGCCCCCCGATACTTCCACAGCGGGAACCACAGCTGTGCCCTCCGCCCTGTCTCTCCGTGCCCGCTGTGCTCCCTCCAGCCCCCCCTCCCCATGCTGTCAAGCTGACCAGTTCAGCACCCGGAACAGAGGGCCATTCTCCCTCTGGGGGACCGACTGCCCCACCTGAACTTCGAGGTCCTGCTGTCCTCTTGGGTCTCACCCTGCCCCCCCACCCCCACCCCCAAGGCCTGGCGTGACCCAGGAAGGCCACGGTGCCTCATCAAGCCAGGACACAAGCCTCCCGGGGCCTGCCCCACCTTTGTTCCTGCTGCCTCTCTCCAAGCAGGTGAACGCCTCCCCACCTCCCCCATCCTGACACGCAGCAGGGGGCACGTCTCCTGGGAGGACAGGCTTGGGGCCCTCCCGGGAGGCCGGCTTCTCTATCGCTGCTCTGCTGCTTCCTGCACTCGCTCCCAGCTCAAGTGGGGGTCCAGGAGGCTGGGACCAGATGTGACTCAGAGCCCAGCACAGAGAAGGCTTGCAGCACGGCTCTGTCCACACTGTGAATGAGCCCTTCCGCTTCCACCCACTCGCTCTAGGGTACAGTCGAGAACACTGAAGCGCTTTATAAGCAAAGACATCCTTCCCAGCATCAAACAAGGACGGTCTGAAACAACCTGAGAGCCCAACCACGCAGGGCGGGTTAAGGAAATATGGGCCATTCTCCCTTGAAGGCATATTAGTCATTCATTGCAAAATGAGGCTTATGAATGTTAAGTACACGGGATAATCCTTATGATAAAATGTTAGTTCAAAAAAGCAGAAGGAAAAAATATCTCTTCTCACCTTTGAAAATTAAGGAAACCTACCCAAATGCCATGTACTTTTTGTCGGGGGAGGATGGGATATGGAAATCTTATCTTGAAAGAAGGGGAAGGGAAGAACTGAGGAGGACAGGGACAGAAGCAGGGCCTGCCGTGTGGCCCGACACCAGGGAGGACACACCCACGGCCTGTCCCCAGGGCTCCAGTGGGTGCCCATGCCCGGACCCTGGCCGCCCAGGCTCACGGCACTCACTTGGCGAAGTTGGCCAGGTTCTGGGTAACCTTGGCGATGAGGGTGAGGGTGCGGGCCGTGCGGTCATCGGGGTACTCCTGCAGCAGGTTGAAGAGTGAGGGTGACATGATGGCGGGGCAGAGGAAGCGCAGAAACAGGGAGGCGCTGATGAGCCGCTCGCTGATGTCGGGCCGGCCGCGGCTGCTGCACTCCTGTCGCCATGAGGCAAACACCTCTTTCAGCTCCCGGGGGAAGACACTGGAGGGACAGAGGAAGTGGCCGGTCATCGGGCAGGGGGCTAGGGCAGGAGAGCGCAGAGCCGGGACCTGGCCCTGGGTCTGGTGGAGCCCTGGGTCCACTTCCCTCCACAGGGACAGCCCATGAGCCAGCGAGCACAGGACCAGTGTGGCAGCGAGGGCAAAGGGGGTGCCTGGCCCAGGGAGCAGGGACACGGGGCTCCAGGCAAGGCCATGGGCTCTCCACAAATGGGCCGAGAGGGGACGGGCGCAGGCACAGAGGAGCCCGGTCTCTGTCCCAACCAGGTCCAATGGCAACAGCCAGCTCCTGGGCCTGCCCCTGGGCCTGCCCCGGGGCTCTGACCTCTGCCCCAAACGCCCGACATGAGGCTCTAGGGGACAGTGAAGAAAACACAACCGGAACAGACGGCTGTCCCGTGGATGCTATCACTGGCCGCTGAGGCTCACTCCCTTTGCTTGAACATTATAGGAGCCAGACGTTTTCAGCAGAGCTCCTAGTGATCAAGATGGGAACAGGCCAATCACAGGATGAGAACGTAGCTCCCGCTTTCTAGATGGGAAGGGAAATGGAGGAAGTGACCTCCCCGGGGGGGTGGGGAGCACAGCGAGGGTGGACAGGGGCCTCTCTCTGCCGGGCATTCCCAGCCTGCTGCAGCCAGGCCCCACTGACCAATCCATAAGTGGTTTTCCTAGCTTTTCACCCTGCCAGACATGCCTCCTGCCCTGGAGCAGGCCGGGCCCCGGCAGTCTATGCCTGCCTCTGTCACTGGCCCAGGCTGCTCTGAGCCAGTGCCTGGCCCTCTCTGAACTTCAGTCCCCTCATCCTCACACTGAGAACAAGACCAGCCCTGCCAAGTTCACAGGACCATCTCAAGGCCACAGGAAGCCTTGATCAACTCCAAAGGCTTTTGCCCAACAAGCCCAGCACCCGCTCAGCAGGCTCCCTGCAGTGAAACAAGAGTGTGCTGGAGACACAGTGACAGAGGAGCAGAGGACACGAGCTTAAGCCCTGACCCTCAAAGTGCCTGGCACAAGACTGGGCAGAGGGCAGGTGCTGAGTGATGACACCCATCGATGGCCTTCTCCAGGACAAAAAGGTGCCTCCAGGCCTCTAACCAATATCAGAAAGAGGAAGTGGAAAACCTGTGGATCTGTTTCCCTGTGTCCCGAGCCCAGTTTGCCCTGGGACCTGGGCAGGTACAGGGCGAAAGCACAGCACAGCCAATGATGAGAAGTATGTTCCCAGAGTTCAAGGCTGTAGCTCTATCCCCAGGCCCAGGGGTCATTTCTGGTCGAGCCCGAGGGGCCAGGCGGGACCTAGGTGAGCACCTTGTGCAGCCAGGGGGCAGAGGAACCTGGCAGAAGGACATCCACTCTATGGGCTCCGGCTATTCCCTCTGTCCCCTTCCCAAGTCTACTGCTCACCTAGGAGGCCTAGCTCTGCCTGTTTTTCGGGAGCAGCAAACCATTCTCGAGCCCCTCCGTGTCCAGCCCTGAGCCGGTGGATCTGTCTGCCCCCAGGGTGCTGCAGGTATGTGCAGGAAATGGATTTGGACACAGACACAATCTCACTCTGACGGGATCAGGACTGTGACAGAGGGTGCCGGGAGGCGTGAGACAACCCATCTGAGACCATGAAGACGGGCGCCCACAGGGCAGCAGGCACAAGGCCTTAAAGCAGGAAGGGAAGGGGTGTGTGGAGGTGGAGGTGTGGGGTGAGGGAGACCCTGCCAAAGAGACGAGTGAGGTACAGCAGCGGCGGGCGGGTGGCCCCCCTGAGTACGGCTGAGAGATCTCATGTGAAGCTGTCCACCTGCCCCACGTGGGTATCTGAGAGGGGCCAAGGCCCCGTTCCTAGTGCTGCCACCCCAGCACCTACGGCGGTGCCTGGCACACAGAGGGCACCCGCTAAGAAGCGTGGAGACACACTGCCGTGTCCAGGTTCTCAACGCCGCATCCTGCAAATATTCTGGGACACCCCCTTACATCGGCAAGCCCACAAAGGACCAGGAGGGGGCCTGGCAGCCCATCAAGACGCCACCGGGCCAGGCAGAGCCACCAGTTGGAAGCTACGTGAGGTCGCAGCTGTCACTGTGCTCTCCTTGTGAAACCTCTGCTCTGTCGTTTACAAGTTGGGGAAGATGGAGCCGTACGCCCTGCCGAGCATGCGCTTGCTAGTGTGGCGCCCAGGATACAGGAGCGCAAGGACCCAGGGGTGGGGCCCGGGCGGCACTGACCAGTAGGAGTTGATGATCTTGCAGAAGGCTAGCTCGCAGCACATCTTGAGGTTGCCCTGGTGCTCGGGGAGGTCGGCGGCCGAGCACTTGCTTGGGTCCACTTCGCAGTTCTCGTCCGACTCATACAGTGCTTTGATGAACTCACCTGGGGCCAGGAGGGCAGGGAGAAGGAGTGAGGGCCTGGCAGGCACGGCCCACGCTCTGCCCACCTGCCGGCCCTATGCCCCGCCCCCCCTACCTAGCGCATCCTGCAGGTACTTCTGGCCCACCAGCTTGAGGTACTCCTCAATGGCCTTGGTGGCCAGCGTGTTCTCCCGGAAGATAAGGTGCTCGTTGTCCCCGCAGCGGTCCACCTCTGACATCATCAAGTCCGTGAGGAAGTCCTGGGGGGGCAGGAGGTGAGAAGAGCAGACATGAGCAGGCCTACAAGTAGGACCCCAAGATCCCAGACCCGCTCCCCACCACGCTGCTGGTGCCCACTCTGGGGGGCTGCTGGGGGGTGCGCACAGGCAGCCTGTGCAGGGGAGATGCCTACAGTTGGAGAGAGCTGGATCTAGGGATCGGGGAGGCAGGCCTGGGCAATAGCACGCAGAGCCATGAGCCAACTGTACCATGGTCAGGCCCGCTGGGCTCCAACCCTGTTCAGCCCTGACCGGGCCTGGCCAGGTCTCCCTTCCCATCACCGACAGCGCTAAGGAGGACAGACGGCCCGCCCTCGCTCCATCATACAAGCAGCTGCCACTACCCACCCGCCCATTACTCTAATGGGGTCTCCCACCCTAGAAACCTTGTTCTGTGCAGCCCCACGGCAGGGATTGCCCAGACGCCCTGGAAGGCAGTGTGCCAGGGCCCAGCCCAGATGGCAAGAACATGGCCCTCAGCTTGGGTGGGGAGGCGCCCCTCACTGCTGTGGGTCCCAGACTTCCCGGGAGGCAGCTGTGAAGCTGGTGAGCCTATGGGTCTCATACGCAGTGTCACAGGCAGACCCTGGGAGGAGCCTGAGCCCACACGCGCCCTCCTGACTCTGGAGAGGTGGGTAGTGACCCTGCCTCTCTTGGGAGCCCCTGCCTCCTCATGCCCTCAGCCAACCCTGGGACCTGGGGGAGGGAAAGAAGATAGGCAGGGAGTCAGAGACCTGGGGTGGGGGGCGGTGATGAGGTGACGTGAGGAGGCCTGCGTGGGCCAGGGTTTCTGGGGCTCTGGAAGCTCCTCACTCCATCACGCACGACTTTGGGCTCTTTGAAATCGAAAGCAGACCTTAGGCTACAGAACTGAGTTCTAGGCCCAGGAGGCCTACTGGCCAATGGAGGAAGGGTGGGGACCGGGGGGAGGGAGTGGCCACTGCCTCTCTGGGAACCACACAGCCTGAGGTGTGACCCAGAGGGCCCCATTCTCTGAGCACACAGAGCAGAGCTAAGCACTGCATGGGGCCTGGCGGCTCCAGGCTTCTGAATGCCTGCGGTGGGCGCCAGGCCCAGGCTGGGATGAAGAGGAGCTCTCTTTAGAGCTAAAACCCAACGAGGGGAAACAGGCACGGAACAGGAGAGTGACCTGCCCAAGCCCACACAGGTACCAGGGGCGGATCTGCCTCCCTGCCACATTGAAAGGAGGGGGGATGGTGGGGAGAAGGCCTGGGGGTCCAAGGACGGAGACTCTGAAAAGCCACAGCCCATGAGAGCAGAGCTCAGGGAGTGGGCAGGAAGGTGCTGAGATGCCCACTCACACAAGCTTCACCTTGGGACTGCGGGGCACTTGTCAGGCGCTCTGCTTCTCACCGAGAACGTGCCCTTGGTTCCCACGTGTTCAGATAGGGGGCTCATAAGCACAAGGTCCGAGCACACAAGTTACTTTCTGTCCTTCTGCCTTCTGATCCGCCAAGCTCACTGAGGTGGCTGGTGCCTGGCTTCCAACTCCCTCCACAAAGCGCTGTGAGCCCCGAGAACAGAGGTCACTGCACACGGGAGTCGGCTTTCCCGGCCAGCCCAGCCCTTGGGGGCCAGGTTGAAGGAATAGACACAGCAGCAGAAGGGGCTCCCTCAGTTCCCTCAGTTTCCCAGCAACCCCCAACTCTGACCAGGAAATTAAGGACAGCATTTGCAGAGCCAGTCCAACCTGGTCAGGCCTGAAGGCTGGGGGCGAGAGGAGGACTCTGAGGGCTCCCTCCCCTCATGGGGAGCACACTCAGGGAGTGCCTTTCCTTGAGGGACAGTAAGAGTCCGATAGGCACAGGGCTCTGGAGGCCTGAAGAGGCCCACAGACTTGGGACCTTGATGGAGTCATGTGCCTGGGTCCCCAGCGGCAGGGGGGGTGGGGGGGAGGGGTGTTCTTAAACCCACTTCCTCTATAAGCCACAGCCCCATCCATCGGCTTTGTATGTGTATCAGTAATCAGCTCCAACCACGAGGGGGAACACGAACCCCCCCTCCCCCCCCATCTGTGACACAACTCTTGGGTTCAGGGAGCCCACCTGGCCGTGACGGGTGCTTCTGTTAGAGCTGAAATCACGGACGCGGACATGGGAAGCGGCAGGGAACCTAGCGCGCATCCCAGGCCTTCACGCGGGGCCACGCAGTGTGGGGGACCCGCCTGTGCCCACACACGCACCTTCACCTTGCCCGTGCTCTGCAGGATGTGCACCAGGGCCGACGCCATCTCCTCCTTGGTCTTGGCGCTGAGGATGGGCTCGAGGGCCGCACAGAGCCCCAGGTAGTGGTTGGTGATGTGCTCGGCAAACTCCTTGTACATCTCCATGGGCAGGATGGTGATGGTCTGGTAGCGCGCCTTGATGCGGATCATGGGCCCGGGGCCCTTGCCGCCCTTGGGGTTGGGCGTCACCACTGGGTACCACTTCTCCACGAACTGCCGCCCAGCCACCGAGGCGGCAGGCAGGCTCACCAGGCCCAGGTAACTGTTGCGCTCCTTCTTCTTCTTCTTGTCGGTCTCCCGGTACAGGTGCACGGTGACGGTGCGCAGAGGCGGCAGGTTGTGGAACTCGAAGTGCTCACCCCAGAAGACGTTGTCCGTCTTGAGCTTGCCCGTGGTGCGGGCATAGAGCACGTCGTCCAGGCACAGCTCGCACAGGTACTTCTTCTTGGCCGGCAGGTCCTTGGCCTCGATCACCCACAGCTTCAGGATGTGCTCCACACGCCGGCTGTTGTCCTGCACGCACACCAAGGGGCCTCGTCACCGGGGGGAGGGGCAGGGAGAGCTTTCAGACACAGGAGGGGCCCTGGCCCGACACAGAATCAGGGCAAGGCAGGGACAGCTCTGGAGCCTGGCGGACAAGGGGCTGGATCCCTGCTCTGCCTTGTACTAACCCACTGACCTTGGGCACATGACTTCACCTAAGCCTCGGTTCCCTTTTCTGTGAATGGGAATGAAACGGAGGGACCGATCAAGTAAGAGGTTGGCACAATGCCTGGCACGTAGTGGGTGACTGTGCCATTTTCCAGCTCTTCTGTAGTTTGCTGGTCTGTAAAGTCACTTAGGAGGTGACCACTGCTAAGGCCCCTTCCTTAGTGAGGTCACGGTGACCAGGGCTCAGCCCAGGCCCCGAAGGCAGCGTGGAACCAGAGGATTATAGGGGGGATCCGTGAACCTGATGGGGGCAGTTTGGGGGCCCGCCCGCTTAGGTCAGTGGTGCTCCCCTGAAGAAGACAAATGTCTAAGCTGGAGCCGGGTGAGTAGGGAATCAGCCTAGGGAGAGGGGGGCATGAATTTCAGGCAGCAGGACACCAGCACCCATGTCCCCAATAGCCCAATGCTCAGTTCTCTGGCCCGGCCTCTTCAGCATGCGGCCCAAGTCAGCCTGGCCACCCAGAGCTCTTCCTTCAGAGCCCAGCACCACTGCTCACCCGGGTGCTGCCTCCACCCCCGCCACGGCCCACAGCGGAGCTCCTGCCTCTCCTCTCATGTCCGGGTCTGTGTTTGCCCCGGGCCCAGCCTCAGTCCACCGTACTCTGGGGACCAGGGACACAGGCTCACCTTGTTGGGGTGTACTGCTCGCCGAAGGTTCTCCATCCACTTATCCCGCTCGGCTGCCGATCGGCAGGAAAAGCACTTGCTTCCTGATGACGTGGTCACCTGCGGGCGACAGGCAGGGCAGTGTCACAGGGAGGGGAACACAGTAAGGCTGGTATGACAGAAGACCTCTGGGCCCTGGGGGGCAGGCAGGGGCAGACTACGGCTGCCAGGTCTGAGCCACAGCCACAGGGTGGAGGCAGAACAAAGTTCCCGACGACCACATTTGCAGGTGACCCAAGTTCCTAGAGCAGGTCAACAGCAGGACAACTCAGCCCTGTGCCCACTGGTGGCTGGCCCCCACTCCCGACCCCTGCCTCAGGGCCCCACCCACTGGAGAGCATCTTTCTGGCTCCAACCTCACTCTCCCGGAGATGGGGAGAGGAGGTGTGGGGCCCCGGCCCGAGGCAGAGGGCAATGCTTAACCTGAACTTCCCTGCTCCAGGTAAAGCCACAGGCACCGAGGGGACAGGCACAAAGGATCCCCTCAGTCCTCAGCTGACACCTCTGACAGTTCTCTTTTGCCAAGTGACATTGACAAAAACAAGGGTCACAGAAACAACATTTTGGGGGCAACATTGGGGAAATAAAAATTGTGCTCTCTAGATGTGCTGGGCTCTGGGGTCCTCCTGTCCGAAACCCTTAGCCTCCTCCCTGGACTCCTGCTCATCCTCAGTCTCCTCCAGGTGGGGGAGACCGACCAGAGTTGCTCGCACCCTGTCCCTGCTGTCCCCAGCACCATGCGGGGGCTCTGCAGGGGGAAACCAGACTCCTTACCCGGCAAGCCCTGCTGTGGACCAGCAGGCAGGCATCATCCTCGGCCTGCCCCAGGCAAAAGTCAGAGCCCGGCTGGTCCAGGTGTCCTGAACCAGAAATGGCAGCCGGCGGGCACAGGGTGTGGGACAGGTGCCAGGCATCACTCCATCCTTTCTCCAGGACCAGGGGCGCCCTGGAGGTTGTCCCTGAGTAGCTGACTTTCATTCCCAGGAGAATGCATTCCTCTATCAGAGAGCTCCCCTACTTATGCAAGACTGCTGGGGGTGGGAAGCTTCTCAGAAAAAGAGGTGGGAAGAGAATATGAATAACTGGAGGAGCAATCAGGAACTCCCAGGAGCACCTGCAACATTAGTTACCGTGGTCCTGGTTTGGCCTCGGGCTTTTGTGTGGCTGCTGACATGACCCTGCCCACTGTGGGCCTCAGATTCTCCATCCACAGTGAGGGGCCCTGGCACTGGTTGGGTGGCTGTCCCCCTGCCCTCAAACTTGGGTCACAGAAAGCGAGGGCAGGAAAAGTTCTGGCTCTCATTATGCAGAAGGAGAGATGGGCCCACAAAGAGGGGGTACTCTCTCTTACCCCACAGTGCATTGGAGGGTTTTTAGTAGGAGTGAGCAGGCTCTGGGGCTTAAACAATTCTATATGGGCTTTTGCTCCCTTTGCCCACTGGGCCCTTGCACACGGAAGACAGTGCCGGCCTGTGGACAAGGAGCCCATGGAGCAGGACGAAGCCCCCCATTTCCCAGCTCCACCTGGTCTCAGGAGCCGCACGCTGTGAGTGGATTCCGGCCTTGCCCCGGAGAGCCTGGCCCTCACCGAGGCCACAGAGCGGCCACCAGTGTCCCGACCCGGCCCTGCGGTGGGACCCACCTCGAAGCAGTAGTCCTGGCCCAGGATGCTGCTGTGCACCGGCTTGATGACCACCTCCTCCTCCATGCTGAGGTCCAGCGCCTCTACCGCGCTGCTGGGGCTGAGCAGGGACTCGTGCGAGCGAGACTCCTTCAGCCTGGGCATCAGATGGGACCTGGGGGTGGGCGGTTCCTGGGTCAGGCCCAGCCTGCTGCTCCCCTCCCTTCCCCTTCCCCCGGCGGCTTGTCCAGACCTCCCAGCCGGGAGGCTGCCACTCCGCCCAGGAAGGGGGCACTACAGCGCTGGAGCCCCAGTCACCTGGCAGGCCCTCTTCCCCACGGGCGGGCTCTGGGAGCGTGGCTCAGCCGAAGGGAGCGGATGCCGGGGGTCGGGCCACCACTCGGGAGCCGAATGTCAGCACCGAGTGCACGGCAGGGTCTTGGCCTTGGAGACCCACGGGACCCAAGCGACCTTCTCTACCCCTCTCCTTGGCCCTGGTCTCCCTCCAAGACCAAAGTAGTCACCCATTTGTCTAGAAAGTCACTGTCGACAGGGCTCTCTCACACATCATCCCGCTCCGCCCACCAGTTCCACTCAGGGCAGGAGGGCCGCAGGGACGTGTGCCGCTCCCACCTTCCAGCGGGGCACCTGGGGCTCAAACGGGAAAAAATACCGCAGTCTCTTCACGGTACCTGAGACACTGAGACTCAGACAGGGTCCATGGACCGGAGCTTGGGGGCCCAGGCCAGGGCCAGCGGGCTGACACAGGCACAAAGAGCAGAGGTGGCTGACTCCTTCTGGTGCCCAAAAGGAGCCCAGGACGGGCTCTGGCAGACCTGGCCTCGGACCTGGGCCCATGCTCGCTTGCTGTTCCCCTCTCTGAGCCTGTTTCCTCAGCACATCACATGGAAGGCACCGCAGATGGCACCCGCGTCAGTGCCTGCTAGAGTCCTTCCGAGAGGTGAACATCCCCTCCAGAGCCAAGAGCACACAGCAGTGCCCCACCGAAGCCCCCCCCCAATAGCTGCGGCCTGAGGACCAGCTGGCCCGCTAAGCCCTTCCTGGCACAGAAGCTGGGCAGGCCTTGCCCCTACCCCGTCCACAGCCCAAACCCTTGCACCTGCCCCACCCACACCCCCTACCCCAACACCCTCTGCCTCTCCGCTCCTGGCCTCCCATGGCTCAGAGCTCAAGCCACCATTCTCTCCCTGTCTCACCAAGACCCTGACCTCAGGTCAGGGAGGTCTGGCAGGAGCGCGAACACCTCCCGCGGGGCATACACCCTGAAGCCCGTATCGTGGTGACCACTGGAGTTGAGGGGGAAGCTGAGGCCCCACTGTGCGGGGGCTCAGGAACTCAGAGATGAGCTGGACAGGTCCTGCCCAGAGCCCCCCACAGGCTGCGAGAGGCCACCCTCCACACCCCAGACTCAAGGTGTCCGTGGCAACAGCCCTCTCTAAGGTGGAGTTCTGTGTGAGGCACTGCACGGGAGTCAGAGGCAGAACTGGGACCCCAGCCCCTAGGGACCCCACAGCCTGACCCAACAGACCCAGTTGGGCCCCTGCAACTGCTCCCCACGCCTATGATAACGCTTGCCCAGGGTAAGGCTCGGGTCCCTCAAGCTGGACGGACGCATCAGGTAGGACTCCCGAGATCTGAGGGGAGTGGACAGACCAGAGAGGGGCCGCGAGGCAGGCTGAGGTCAGGGTGGAGCCAGGCCAACTCCCTACACTCATGTGTAGAACCTGGGGAGGCCCCAGCCCACCAGCGTGCACAGCGACCCTGCCTCTGCTTCGCCACTGCCCTCTTTGGGGGGGTGGCTTTCGCGAACAGGCACTGTGGCCACCGCCCCACTCAGTGCAGGGTGCTGACAGAGCTCCCCAGGCCCTGCTCCAGAGGCCCGTTCTCCACCCCATCACAGCACTGACCTAGGCTGGAGGTGGGCTCATGGTCCCCTCAGCTGCAAGATTCCACCTCGGGCCGCCCCCCACAGGGCAACTCCACGCCTCCCTCCCAGGACATGGCTTCGTACCTCAGTGCCAGAGACACCCTGCCCCCCCGATGCTAGAAGTCATCCCACCTCAGAAGGGCTGGGACCCACAGCCCCCTAGGTTTGTTATCCAGGGCTTAAACCCCAGCTGGCAGGCCAGGGTCAGGCTGTTTCCTGGCCCAGCCTGGAAACCACCGCCAGGTAAGGAGGCTGGGAGGGGGGAGTAGGGACTCAGGAAGTGCAGAGGGAGGAGCTGGTGCTAGGGGCCAGGGTCCCCTCCTGCCTGAACAAGGTGGCTGGGGAGAGGAAAGAGGGCATGGTTCAGTAGATGACTCTGCCCCGGGAGAGCCAAGGTGGCTCTGGGTTTACAGCCCAGGAACCCAGCAGGCCCAGCCCAGACCCCAAAGCAGCCAGAGCCTGGAGCCTACTGCTGCACAGCCCTCCTCTTCCTTCCTTACCACCCTGTTCCATGAACACGCCCCAGCTGGCCCAGGCCTCCCTGGGAGCGTTCCTGGCTGAACAGAGGGCTGTGGGGAAACTCACAGTAAAGGCATCCTGGCTGTAGCTGGGCAGCTGTGACCCTCCCGACCTCCTGTGGGCTTCTCCAGGCTGGGGGACCTGGAACAGAGGCTGAGCCCCTGCACCCAAGCTCACTGGGAGGAGGAGTGGGGCAGCTACTCCAAGGTCTGGAGAGCTATTTCTGATAGGTTTTTTTTGTTTTGTTTTGTTTTTAATTTCTGAGAGAGAGAGAGAGAGAGAGAGAGAGCGTGAGCGAGCGAGCAGGGGAGGATCAGAGAGAGAGAGGGAGACACAGAATGTGAAGCAGGCTCCAGGCTCTGAGCTGTCAGCACAGAGCCCGATGTGGGGCTCAAACCCACGAACTGTGAGATCATGACCTGAGCTGAAGTCAGACGCTTAACCAACTGAGCCACCCAGGTGCCCGTGGTGGGCTGCTTCTGGACAGGAGAGGGCCGGGCTCTAAACGCTGCCCTTTGGGGTGGGGGCAGGGCCAGTGGGCCTGCACCCCAATTCCCATGCAGACACACATCCTTCCCGCTCAGCCTGGAGTCCACCTGTTCCCCCTCACTTCCCCAAAGGGGCACATGAGGCCCAGAGGGAGCTGTATGCTGTGACCCTGTTGGGTGAAATGTCCTGGCAGTGGTGAGTGTGCTCCTGGTGGGGACTGATAAGATGACCGGGGCTCAGGAAGGGAAAATGGTCCCTTGGTCACTTCCTCAACCCAGAAGGATCACCGAACAGCCTAAGAAGCAGCTCCTCCGGGAAGCCAGCCCTGACCCAGGCCCGCAGGACCCCCCAAATACTCCCATACCAGACCACCCCATCGATTACTCAAAGCAGACCTTCACTGCACCATTCCATTGCCTCATGTCAGCACTGCTAGGCCAGCATCTTGCTCACCTGCAGCTTCTGCCTTCCCAGGCTGGGCAAAAAGTTCAGTAAGGCAAGGAGGGAGGGTGGAGGGCACCGCAGACTGACCGGGCTCCAAGGAGGCAGCAAGTGGGCACAGTCTCCCTCCCTAGGAAGCTCGGTAAAAGGAGGCGACCAGGTGCTGGCCGCTGCCTTGGCCCCACTCTACTCCCAGGAAAGAGGTGCTCCACCCACAGGCCTTCACTCTGCGCAGGGCGCCCAACTGCTTACTTTCACATCCTTTTTACCAGGAATTTTCACCTACCCATTTTCCAGAAAGGTAAGGGGCTCAGGGAGCAGCAGTTACCTGATGTGTCCTAGGCCCCTGGCTGGTCAGGGAGCTCTGCCCACGGCTGTCTTGTGTAGGTGGGGGTCCGGGGCCCGATGAGGTCCCTTCCTGCCACTCCTTGGCTAGTGTAAGAGAGCAGGCCCGACGCTCCCTCTGCATGGCCTCCTCCGGTGCTCAGATCTGTGACCTCCTGTGGTCCCCAGAGACCAGAGCCACCGCACGAAGCAGGGCCAAAGGCCTTCACACGTCTGCAGCCCAGGAGCGAGCTCATTCTCACCACAACCCTGCCAGGGATGCCGTGTGACTACACTGGGCTCCCAGAGGCTGGCGACAGCAGAACCAGATCTCAGTCCGGACCGTGGGCTCCATGCACCCGGCCCTCCTCCCCAGGGCAGAGCTGGCACCCCTGGGCAGTGCCCACCCCTGGGCTGTGCCCCCAGGACACGTCACACATATCCCTTCGCTGAATCCTCACAAGGCTGAATCCTCACAAGGCCGAGAGACAGATACTGAGCTCACCCCCACTTTACAGGGGAGAAACGAGCCTGCTTGAGAGGGCAGCCCCCCTCTCCACACCTCAACCCCCTGGGGCCACCTCTTTATCTGGAAGAGAAAGGTGTTATTTCAAACAGAAATCAATGGTAACAAGCATACGCTTAAAAGGTGCTGTAAAGAGGATTTTCAGGGAGAGGCAGCTCTCCGGGCCTTGGAGTCCAGAAGAGGGGGTTCTGGTCAGGACTGCATGCGATTCAATGCCAGCCCCGCTAGCCGGGGTCCACCTGCCTGCTCCACCTCACCCTGGGCTGCTCTTCCCGACTCCCTCAGGCAGGCCTCCAGGCACATGCCATCCCCCTATCCTATTTAACCTTCAACTCTCAGCATCAGCGCACCCTCCTCCACGAAGCCCTTTTGGGCTCCTGGAAGACAGCAACCTTGTACATGGTCCCAGAGCCTGGAAGTCATCAGGGTATGCTGGGAAGGTCTGTTGTGACCGTCTTTCTGCCTGGCAGGGGGCTCCCAGTGGATAGGGCCGGGTCTGGCTCAGCACCAAGGTTCAGGGCCCTCGAGTTCCCAGACCGAAGTCCCAGCGTCCCAGCAGCCAAGGTCAGCTAAGCTCCGGGAAGAGGGAGGAGTCGGCTGGGATGAGGACAATCCTCCCCAGAGACAAAGACAACCCAAGCTGTGGTCATCAGGGCAGCTGCCTGCTCAAGGCCAGTCCCCAAGAGCGGCACCCCAGGCCTCACACAGCATCTCTGAGAAACGCCCCTGCTCTGGCTTTGTCCAGGTACGGGGAGCTCCCTCCATGTCTCCCAAGGCTGGGGGTCACTGTGCCCTCCATAGCTGCACCCCCGCCCCCGCCAACAGTGTCCCATCCCCCTGAGACATCCCTGAGTCCTAGACACAATTGAGTCTCTAAACAGACCCACGGGACTAGAGGCCCTGTATCCCCTCCCCAACCAAGGCCGGC